TGTTTTTATACACCCATCGTTTGTATCTAATTAACATTATCTCAGGAACTTTTTTTTGCAATTGATGGTACAATGTCCCATTGCCAAGTTCTTCTGTTCGATTTGCTTTTAAGTTTGTTACTGCCACATCCAACAAATCCGCAAACTTTTCAACGTCTTTTGGATTATTTTTCCTCATAGGTTTAAAGTTGTTCAATTCATCCAAAGGATTTTTCTCCTTGTTCTGCCATATTTTCTTTCAAGTCTTTCTTTTGCAGCTTCATAAGCGAATGACGAATACCCAAGTCCTTCAATTGCTTTTAATGCGTCTCCACATAAATATTGACATAACTGAAGTAATTTATACTCAGATGTCGCTGGAGCTTGATCAATGCATGCGTAGAATGAAGCTTTCCAATTTTCATAGTTCTTTTTATCACCATTAAATATTGGTATAGAGACGCGTTTGAGCTGTTTCCATAAATCATGTCCAATTTTTGCAGTCTTTTGATCGAAATCAATTATTTCATTTTCCATTTTACGCATGATATGCAATGATTTGATTGGTTCCATTTCGCTATTCCCATTTTCTTCTTTATTGTTTTCATACTGGTCATTACTTTTTGAGTACTTAACCATTGATAACTTTGCTCTATTTATACAAAAATTTCGTTCAATAACAAAAAAACACTATTGTTCAAATATTCGCCACATAATTGTTATTTAGTTCGTTATATCCATATTGGCGCTATTTACTGGTTATATCGATCGTGGTATCGGAATATTGTTTTTCTTTTATGCTAATTCAATTTTCTTCCAATCAATTATTTTTATTCGGAATTCGAAAAATATATGTAATCCAAAATATTAACTTGAAACTAAATAACCAAAAAAATCACAATTTGTTCATGCCATTTCGATATTTATCCCAGAATATATGTAACTTATCTATAGCGAAATACAATATTTACAATTTGATGCACTTTAAAGTAGGCTGAGCACTAGTATAGAGAGGAACTTAAGTGTTTTAAGAAAATGGCCCGCATTTCCAGACTAGTTAAATACTATGACTATGATGTAACAAAGTATTTACTACTAACAAGGTTACATGTAACAAAGTATTTATTACTATAAAGGTTATATGTAACTAAGCTATAAAGTAAAGATATTTTATGTGTGGCTTCCACATAAATATAATTTTTAGCCGTTCTTGTCATTGTGTTAACAATTTTAAAGTTTTGAGAGAATTTATTTGACAAAAAAGCCTAAGTCTTTAAAATGTTCAGCCTAAAGCTATTAAATTTAGACTTAAGATTACAAAACCTTATGGTGATTTTTCACTCTCTGATAAAAACTTTGATGCTAAAGTAATTGATTTGAAATTCAAAGATAATAAAACTTATCTAAAAAATATCTTTATTGCCATGCTTATAAATCTGAGAAGATGTTGCTTAAGAAAGTTGAGCTACAGCTAAGAAGTACTTAGCACTTATCTAGACATTAACTTTATCTGAGCTTAAAAAATGAAACATTGATATAAAAATTTAAGCTATTGAGCAGCCATGGTTAGAGCCCATCCTTTGAATTCAAGAGTCTGATTTTAAACTCTTCCTGTAACATCTAAAATGTGACTGGTCAACTCACAAAACAGAAATGCTGAAATTGCTTGGTTGGATTAGTATAAAAAATTGAATAATTGTTAAACCACTATGTTTAATTCATAATGTTAAATCAAGTGAAAATCAAATACTTAAGACATTTTATTTAAAAAATTAAGTTAAATACGCTAGATTTACATACGCAATAAGATGAGTAACATACATTAGACAAGCTAGTTAGTTTCATAGAAGTACCAAATCTAATAGAGCAGGGAAGAAGTTGTGGGAAGAAGTAACTATTACTACAATTAATTTGTTAAATAAATAAAATCTGCTGTTGAGAAGGTAGTAGATTGAAGGTAGTAGATTGAAGGTAGTAGATTGAAGATTATCAAACATTATCGAACAACAATTTGGATTTCAATTTAATGTGGGCTTGCTAAGAGCATTGACCTGAATTGTCAACAAATTGGCTTTTATAAAATATTTTCAAGAAATAAATTTGTATAAACTAGTAGAAAAATTTTTCCCTTATTGCTTGCTATATATATATTTGCTATGATATATATATATATATATATTTGCTATGATATATATATATATATATATATATATATATATATATACTTGCTATGATATATATATATATATATATATTTGCTATGATATATATATATATATATATATATATATATATTTGCTATGATATATATATATATATATGTATATATGTATATATATACATATATATATATATATATATATATATATATATATATATATATATATATATATATATATATATATATATATATATTATATATATATATATATATATATATATATATTACATATTATATA